TTTACGTCATTGCCTTCAGCTACCCGGTCGTGCCAAAGGGCCAGGCTCGCATCCGCGTGCAGCTTTCCGCGGCGCACAGCACCGAGGATGTGATGCGTGCCGTTGATGCATTCAAGGTGATCAAGAAGGAGCTCAACATGTAGGCTCGGAGGTGTGCAGCTTTTTGCGGCGTACTGAAGTGAGGTTGTAATACGAGCTGGTAAAGGTATTTAAAACAAAACGTCTTGGTTTGCATAAATAGGTAGAGGAGAGAAGTTTCCTGAAGTTGGAGACACGAGTACTCCCCTTTTTATCTTTTTTTTTCTTTTTTTCTGTGGGTGGGTGGGTGTTTAGTGTTTTAGCTGCGCACACTTCCGGAAGCGTCGTATTTTTAAATGATTTTTTTTTGTTTTTCACTTCACTTTTTGCCTCGCCATGCCCCGCGCTTTGGCGATTGGTTGCAGCGACTTCTGCCAGTGAGGGCTCACCGACTCTTTTGTCTTTGCCGCCCGCTACCGTTCTTTTCTGTAGAACAATTTCTTTTTTTTTCTTTTTTTGCCGCGTTCTGCTTCTTTTCTTTTATTGGGTGTCGCGGGTTTGTTCCACTGTGGCATGCATGGGCTACCTCTCTCTCTCACACACACACGTGCATGGATACGTAATGCGGGGGACTGATAGCGATAGAGAGAGCGATAGAGAGAGAGAGAGGTGATGGCTCACGTTGACCAGCTTCTGGAGGAGTACCTGCGTGTCATCAATTCCAAGGACGATGAGATACACGAGCTCATCCGCGGCCTCGAGGAGCGCCGGTGTGAGCTGAAGAAGAAGGAGGACACCTATAAGGTGGATGTGGTGAGTGCGCAGCGGCGGCTGGAGAAGGCGCGGAGGCAACTACGAAGGATGGGACAAAAGTTGCAGGTGAATGAGGAACATATTGACCAGCTTGTTCGGCGCAACGACGTGATGAAGATGCAGGCAGACGCTATGGAGCAGAAGGTAATTGAAGTCACTAACCTTTTAGATCGGAGTAAAGAGAGCCACGGCCGAGAGATGGAGGAGATGCGACAGCGACACTGTGAGGAGGTTCGGTCATTGCATGTGGAGCGCGACAATTTAATGTCAGAGCTAACTCATGCGCAGCAGAAGCATCTGGATGCGCAGAGGACTATGGAGGCATGTGAAGCAAGGGCGCAGCAGTTAAATGCAAGAGAGGCTGCGCACGAAGAGTTGAGGAAGGCGTTCGACGACGTTCGTCGGGAGATGGAATTCATGGTCTCAGCGCAAAAGCACGCAGATGCCTTGGCAGTGTGTGAGGAGTCCATGCGCAGCCAGAAGGCGGCGGCAGCGGCTGAGATAGAGGACTTGAATGCACAGCTATTGATTGCGAAGCGTGTCTCGGGCGAGTGTCAGGGTGAACTTAACGATCTAAGGGTGATGCATGTGCAGTTGCAGAAGAGGCTTGCCGAGACATCGCAGGAAAAGGAGGAGGCGCAACAGCTTCTCGATGCGGAGCGGGAGTCGAGGAAAAATTTGGTTGCACTCCACCAGAGGGAGGTGGTGAAGGCCCGTGAGGCCGCTGAGCAGGCGACGGCAAAGCTCACCGCCACGGCGGAGCAGCTGCAGTGTGGGCAAGCCAAGACACGGGCGTTGGAAGGACGACTCTCAGAACTCTCCGAAGCGTTCGAGCAGGAGGTGAGACGCGGTGGTGAAGAACGCGGGAAAATGTCCTTGCAGTTGACGGCGCTGCAGACGAAATTGACAGAGCAGCAGCAGGAGATGGAACGAAGGCAGCGAAGCTTAGAGGCGAGCTCAGCAGAGCTGAGGGAGCTCCATGCTTCCCTTGCCACTGCAAAGGAGGAGCACCTGCGCTGCATCGCGGAGCTCAAGGAGAAGCTAACACTCGCAGTAGCGGAGCGGGATCGGCTTCGGGAAGATAGGGACCGTCTCACGTTTGAGCTGAAGGATCTGCAGCATCAGCTGGGCAGTTTGAATGAACGCTTCGTGGGGGAAAAGCGGGCCCTCGCCACACGAAACGAGGATGCCAACATCGTCATCGATAGGATGAAGGACCAGCTGAGGGACAGGGAACATCAACAACAAACGTTGGTTGCCACACAAGAAAAACGTCTGCAGGAACTCGCTTGGGCCCATAAAACGGAGCTGGCGGAGTGCAGGCGGGTTTTGGAGAGTGAAATAAGTGAGCTTCGCCAGCGCCTGAACTTCGCGAGTGCGCAGCTGGCAGAAGAGGTTGCCACTAACAAGGCGAACCAACGCGATGTGCAGGCTGCGAATGAGGTTGCGCGAAAAATGCGAGAGGAAAGTGAGCAACGTGCCTCGGATGTTCGTGAGTCCGCAAGAGCGTTGGAGGATGCGAGGGGAGAGTCCATGACCTTGCGAGAGGCACTGGCAAAGCAGAGACAGTTGGTTGATGTCGCTGCGGAGACTGAGGCGCGGCTGCGGAAGTCACTGGAGAAGGTGGAGAGTGACCGCGCGGCGGAGGCGAGGCAGCATGAGCTCACTGTGCAAGCTCTTGGGGATGCAAAGGAGAAACTCGCGGCAAGTCGCAGTGAGGTAACGCAGCTGCGGCGAGAACTTGCGCGGGCACAAGAGGAGCGCGCCAAAAGAGAGCTGGTGAACCGTGCGGCACAGCTGCGGAAGTCGCAAAAACAAGTCGAGCAGCTGGAGCGGGAATTGGTGACCCTGCGGCAGGAGCGACAGCACCAGCTTGCCTCACTGGAAAAAATGGGTGAGGCGTACGAATCTTCCCAAAAAGCGAGGCGAGACGCCACTGATGAGCTTCACCGCCTGCACGCGGAACTGCAGCAAAAGACGAAGGAGTACGCAGGTGTTGCGCAGCATGCGAAGGAGGTGGAAGAACTCGCAAAGCGCAGCTGCGAGGAGTTGGAGCGGGAAATGGCCCGGCGCGACGCCACCATTGACTCGATGCAGCAGGACGCCTCGCTTCTCGCAGACGAGCGAGCAAAGGTGGCAGTGCTCGAGGAGCGGCTCAATCATCAGGCAGACCTTAGCCGTCGCGACGCTGACCTCCTCCACAGTCGCATCGCTGCATTGGAGAAGGAGCTTGACGCACGTGACGCGCAGCTGCACCATCAGGCAGCAGAAGCCGAAGAAATGGCAGAGCAGTTTCGTGCCTTGCAGAGTCGCGCGGGTGAGCTGGAGGAAGCGGTGACGCAGAAGGAGAAGAAACACGCCCTACGGAAGGAGGCATTGCGCAAAGCACTTGAGCAGGTTGATGCCGCTGTGGAGCAAAAAGTGGCGGCCGAACATATTTTGTCAAAAGCCAATACGTCACGTGAGAAAAGCGTTGAGTCTTACAAAGCCGAGTCGGGGCGAATGCAGGAGCAACTGCAGGTGGCTCGTGCAGCGCAACACGCCGCGGAGTTACGGCTGTCGTCACAGGAGGAGGCGCTGGCGGAGGCGACGAGGACTTTGAGTGCCACGCAGGAGGTGCAACAGCAGCAGCTGAGGCGTCTAAAAGAGGAGCACACCACGGTTCTGGCCAAAGCTTCCGATGAATTAAATGCAGCACTTAAGCGCGTGGATTATTTGACCCACGAATTGGCGCAGTCACGACAGGCACTGCGTGAGGTGGAGGAAGCTAAGGAAGAGGCATTGCGGTATGTGAAGGATTCCCAGCGCAGGCTGCTTGCGTCGTACAGTCGTCTTGTTTCAAATATGGCCGAGGAGGTTATGATGACAAAGGAAATGTTTGGTGACTTTGTCATTTCTGTTACAACGCGCTCCTTCTATCAGTTGCGTAAAATTGCGCACGAAGGGTGGGACATTGCCATGTCATTTAAGCAGCAGTGCGGTGAGGGCCTGCGGCAGCTGAAGGAAAAAATGGAACGCGAGATGGAAGAGTTGAAGCGGGCCCACGCCGACGAGGTGCAGGTGGTACGGGATGAGCGAAACAGGGAGGTGTCAAAGCTGGGACTTCAGCACGAGGCCACCGCTGCGCAGTTGCGTCAGGAACTGGTTGACGCCACGGAGCGGGTCTCACGCGAGCGGGAGGCGGCGCTGAAGGAATGCCACCGCAAGGAGGAGCAGTTGCAGCGCGAACGGCTGGAGCTGGAAAGCGCGCGGCTGGAAATTGCTCACCGTGGGGATCAGATTGCCGCCTTGAAGGAGCAACTCCGCGGGTTTGAGCAGCGGTCGGAGGCGGAGCGGACGCTGCTCGATCAGGAGAGGCGTACCCTGCAGCAGCAGCAGGAGCGCATCCGTCAGCGTCTGGACGATCGCACGATGGAGCAGAATAAGAGCGAGGTGGAGGCGCGAGAGCTGCGCTGCGAGATTTCTGCGATGCAGCACGTGTTGCAGGAGAAGGATAATGCGTTGGCAAGCGAGCGCGAGCGGGCTCGACAGGAGAGCCGTCGACTGACGGCGCTCACCGCCGCCAAAGAGACACTGCATCGACAAATAGAAGAACAGCGACGGCAGATGCAATTGCTGCAGCTGCAGCTTTCGGCGGCCAAGCAGGGGGCGCAGCAAAGCACCCACACCGCAGCCTCGCAGCAAAGTCGGCTGGAGGAGCGTGTCGCGGAGCTCACAAAGACGCTCTATACGGTGGAGTCGGAGAATCAGCGTCTTGGTCGTCAGACGCACAAGGACGAGAAGAAAATTGCTGTTCTTGAGAAGGAACTCACAGAGTCACGGAAGCGTGAGGCTGAACTTTCCAGCCAGCTGCAGACACGTAAATCTGAGAGCTCGGCCTTGAAGGAACGCTGTGCGAATCTTGAATCGCTCAAACACATTGCTGAGGTCGCTCTTGCCGAGACACGTCTGCGGGAAAAGGACCTTCTTGAAAAAATTGAGGAGCTGCGCTCCGCACAGCAACTGATGCAGCTGTGCTTTGACAAACAGCAGGAACAGCTGGAGGTGGGACGCCGAATACATGAGCAAGACGTCAATCGAAGTGGATTGCTCTACAAACATGACCGTTAATGACATTTCTTTGAAGTTACATTTTTCAGCGATTACTTTTCTGCACGTTTGTGTGTGTGTATGTGTATGTATGTGTATGTCAGTAGTGGCGCAGGCTTGCGCTGGTCTCTTGTTGTTGTATGCAATATGCATATACATAGATATATCCTCTGCTCTGCTACGTATGTATGTACGTTCGCGCGAAATTACATAGATAAGTGTTACCGTTACTGCCTTTGGGAGCAGTCGTATGTGTGTGTATGTTCTGAATCTTTCTCTTTTGGGGTGGGGTGGGGGTGGGGGTGGGGGGTGAAGGTTCTGATCATCGTGGCCAGACGTTGTATTCAATTGAAGTTTCACTTGACCTCTGTTGCCGTGCCTGCTCGTACACACACGCATATAATATATATATATATATATATATATATATATATATATATG